GCGGTTCGCCCGAGCCCAGCCAGGCGGTTGCAGCCCGCGCGGGGACAGCCCAGTCGGCGTCTTTGTTAAGTCCGCCTGCACCGAGAGGCACTCCCTGGCCTGCCGGGAGCGCATGGGGCCCACTCCCGACTTCTTAGTCGGAGTCCCCAAAGGACTTGTAAGCATATAGGCTCGAGTCGAGAGGCTAAATTAGGCCCCGGGGGACTTCTTAAATAAAATCCTAAATTTCATTTCGGCTGCTCGTAGGCCAAGCGATCGCGAAGACTCTGAGCCAAGACGGCGGTGCGGGGCAGACCCCCGGCTCGCTCCTCCCCGCCCCCTCCCGCGCCGGCTTTGTGCAGCCCGGGGTTCGAAGATCCGCTTCCCTCCCGGACTGTCAGCCCGAGTCTGGTTTATGCCACCCCTCCCCCTGCAGTCGCCGCTGTCCCCCCCATCTCCTCCTGCTCCCAGCCCTTCCGTTTCCTTCCACGTCCTCTTCCCGGGCCCTCCCCCACTCGAAATCGCCCTCCCCTCGGGCTGGGAGAAAAGTCTGTAATAAGAAACCAGTTCTGTGTCAATCGGGGGGTGGGAGATAACCCCAGAGATACACCGCAATGGAGAGAGAACTCATTTTGTGTAAAGAGGGCCTAGAGTCACCAGGGAATTCCTGGATTGTCTCAGGCTGTCGTGTGTGATGTCCATCACGCCGTGCGAACACCATCTGCTCGGTATTATGCTCTCAGTTGCCAGGCTACCTGCTGTACGCGGTAACACTTGACTGCCTGGCTCCATGTTCGCGGCGTTAGCCCAGACGCGCGGGGCGGGGGACGCGCAGGGGGAGGGACGCGAGTCATGATTAAGCCATCTGCAAGGGGAGAGGGCGCGGCGGCGCGGCGCGCGGCTCGCCGCAGCACCAGGCTGACACCACCATCTGCTGGGGCAGGGGGAGAACAGCAACTGCTCCTTGTCCCCGGACGAGGAACGCCGGGAAAAGACTGAAGCCCGGAGCATCCTCAAGCCAGTAGTCTGCAAAGTCCGGGTCACCCCAGTCTCGTCGCTGTCTATTGTAATCCCCCACACCCTTGCAAGAAGCTTGTAATCTTTGGTTCGCCGCCAGCGACCCAAGCCCCGCTTACCCAAACACTATGCACGTTCTTGAAAACACTTCAGAGAAATAAAGCTTCCTTACTCAAAGATTTATAAATAAACAGCTGGCTGTTCTTGGGAGATATTTTTACCACAGCTGTTTTTTGAAGTTGAAAACTGCCTCTTTAGGCGAGGTAGGGGTGTTTTTTTACACCTCCCACCTCACTCTAGCCTGTAGAAAATTGCTAAAATCGTTTTTCCCTGAAGGGGAAGATATGTAAAATAGGTTCATTGGTTTTGATTTCTGTTTCCTCTTTTATTTTACTAGAGAGGGTTTAGACTCTTTGGAGAGTATTGAAGATCCGTGCAGCCAATAGGATTTTTGGAGGGGAAGAGACTATTAAGATTCTTGGTAGAAGGCGAGGGACGTCGTTGGGCAGGGAGTGGAGTGGAGAACAAACCAGTAATTAAAACTAAAAATACGGCATCATTTAGCTTCCAGGCATTATATTTCCGATGACGAAAACTCGGCCTGGTTTTCTCTAATTGCACGTCGCAGTACGTGTCCTTCTTAGAAACAAGAGCGGTGACTTGAAATCCTGAAATTGGACAATTTCTCATTAAGTTCTCTTAAAAGAAGCTTTGTAATATCAAACAGTTAGTGGCCTCAACCAGCTTAATTTGTAAGGCACATCTCTTGGTGCATCTGCACACTTGGAAATACACACTTCAAACTGGGGCCTTAGCTGTCTGTCACCCACTATTCAATGCAGCAGGACTTGTTGGGAAAATGCAAAAGGTATTTCCCATGGAAGGCAATCCTTCAGGAATGCACAAAGCCTTTCCTGCCTGTAGGGCTTCAGTAAGAAACCAGAAGGCAAAAACCTTGGGGAGGGAATCCTTGGGGGACATACATAATCCTGGGAAATAATAACCTGACTATACCTTTGAGAGGGTTTTGTTGGATCTCTCTCCTCTCTCTCTCTCTCTCTCTCTCTCTCACACACACACACACACACACACACTGTGCTTTTGAAGTATTTCTTTTTGGTCCAGGAAGACAGGGGCAAAAATTGATTTGATGTATCATCATCAGTCATTATCCCCATTTGCCTGTCCCTTTCTTTCCCTGGTGGAGAGAAGGCTTGGAAAGCAACACTTCACTCTTTACACTTCTGGGCCCACTCCCCTTCTGGGCAGGGCTGGTCACGTAGGTCTCAAAATGCACAAAGATAAACAGGGCCAGTCCAGACTAGTCCTCTCAGAAAAACCAACCTGAAGAAAACTTTATTTTCCCTAGGGTCCCATTTCCTCCTTATCAAAACTGGAAAGTATCAAATATGTTGAGATACACAGGAAAAAAAGATATATTTGTATTTCTGCGGATTGGTTATTTATATTTCAGTGTGAATTCGTTTGTTAAGGTGTTAAGTCAATCAACCATTTGTCTTTAAAGGTGGCAAGAAACAGCTTTATCCAAAAAGGCTTAGAAAATAGGTAGCAAGTATTTGCGGTGGGGGGGAGGGAAGACCTTCAAATACCTAGACCCTTGCAGGGGTCAATCATAAAGTAAACTTTTTGGTAGCATAAAGGTTCCTGGCATTTTTTTTATTTTTATTTTTTGCACTTGTTAAGTAAAGTCCCTCTTATAAACATGTCCTACCCCCAAGAGGTATGCCAGACACTATGACCCCCCAACCCTCTCTCAGGTTCCTGACATTTTT